GACACTCTGCTTTTGGCTTCAAGGTAGCTTTCATGGTATGTAACCTTAGTTTGGGTGTTTTTATAACTGCAAAATTCAATTCCCCACGGCACCGCCTACATGGAGAATCACTCTTTAATTATCCGTCTGTCAAGTTCTCTTCTTGTTTCAAGCCTAGATGGCTTACATAGCTAACTCCTCAAACTCAGACTGGAGGAGAAGCTAGTGCAACCAATCTAATTAGAAACCAACCAGGCTTTTGGGTCCTTTAAATTGGAATTGAAGTTAAATTGGCCAAACCCAAATTTAATTTAACTAAAGTCAGTGTTGAATTGAACTAGAGATAGTAGACAGGCCCCATTTCCTTTAATTGGAAGAGAATCCTTCCTATTTTACTTTTCCAATCCTCTTCGATCCAAACACATTATTAAGGTAAAACTTTACTTTAAACCTCTTATTTATCCTAAATTCTTGATTAAATTTTTAAACTTTTATTTAAATAAATAAACTTCTGAACTTAATAATATAAGCAATTTAATTAATTTTCTTTATTGTAGACTTAATATCCATTTGCACATTACTTGCTTAAATAGGGAATTAAATGTTATTACTTGGTGAATATTAACTTTATCTACACAAAGAAGGCATAAATGGGCGTTAAGTTTGTTGTTAAAAAATAATTAAATTGCTTAAATCGACAAATTTAAAAATTTATTTATTTTCATAAAAATTTAAGGACTTAATAAAAAATTTAGAGTAAATTTAAGGGCTTAACATAGTGTTTTGCCCACTGTAAAACGTTCTATCATATCTTTCTCACCACGTCATCATTGGTTTATCTTTCAAATCGGACGAATAAGATTGGTAACGAGTCGATTCTCAATCAGGTTTCAACATTGTCCTACCCAAATATCAAAACAGAGGTTGCACTTGCCCCCAAGACCCTAACGAGTTCAGGACAAATAGTCATTGGTTTTCCATTGCAAAACTTGGTTACTTTTAAGACAAAAATTATCTTTTCAAAGTCATGATAAGGATTTCTTTGGTCCAGCTAAGGGTTACTAATTGCTAGATAAAGTTGATGCTAATGCCCAAAACATCGGAGCTAGAGAAGGCTACTGAGAACAAGCAACTAGCCATGGCCCTTGAAAGCAATTAGAAGCCTCCAAAATGGTTGGCTTTTGATCACATGCAACATTTAATTGAACACATTCTTGATTCAGAAGAAGCAAAAGCGACAGCTACCGACTGTAAAGACGGTAAATATCCAGATCCTTCCTTGAATTTGGTTTCTGTCACTCCTCAGCCAAGATGTAAATAGAAAACACATAATTACTAACGTGAAACTGTTCCATACCTATGAGTATTTATGTGACTATATATTATACACACTATCATTTTAATGAATCTTATCAAAAAAACAATAGGGTACGAGATGTTGAGAGTGATTGATGCGTACCCATATGATTCAATTAGGCAACTGATCAATCAATACTGAACCAAATCATATGCCTTTGAGCATGATGTGAGTGGAGAACTAAAAAGAATGCTTTTAGAAATTTACTTCCTATTATGTAGAGGAGGAATCTCCAATTTTTGAAGTGGATATAGGGCTTGGCTGCTTAAATGCCATCATGGAATGGTTTGTCTTAAATGCCGCCATTCAGTACAAAACAATCTAGAATGTAAAATTTACATTCCCAAAGAATGAAGAATTTATTTATCCAACCAAATAGACCCACCAAGTGAAACAGAAACTGAATGTAAAAGTGCAAAAGTCATTTGATCTAAAATGTAAGCACTCATAAATGCTCAATGCTAGTAGGGTATATCTAGCTTCCATAATAAAAGTACATTCCCTAAGCAAAATGAACTCTTCCAGAAATGCTATATGGGTAAGGATAAAGGTTTGATTCATATCAAAGTCATGCAGGAAAACCGGTAGTTGTTAGGTTTGCCCCCTAGTTTGTTGCAAACCAGAAACTAGTCATTTTTCAAAGCTTCACTAAAGATAAATAGATAAGGATTAATTGACAATCCTTACACAATCTATCACTTTTATTTATTAGCAGTTGTTTGGCCCCTAGTTTACCTACTTGGGTTTGCCTTTTCTATTAAATAAATAGATAAATGAAAAGTCTTACCCAAAGGAAAAGAAAGATAAATAGAAGCCTGTTGGGATTATATATGGCCACTGCACCCTCTGAAAGTGTGCACAACAAAACACATGCAACGGAGGTGATAGAGTACAAAACTTTTCTCTCTCTCGGTTTCTTTTCTGTTAATTCTGATAAGTTCTGAACTTCAAGTTCTCTCCTAGTTCTGTGCCTAGACTCGACAGTTTGAAGCTTGAAGGATGTGTATAGCTGCTTTTGTTTGGCAAGCTCACCCGCTCTACCCTCTTCTGCTGCTGCAAAACAGAGATGAGTACCACAACAGGTAAGTTTTTAACTTGACCGGTTTGTTTTTCTTGAATACTAGAGAATTTTTTTTTTTTTTTAATTGGGTTTCCATATGGGTTTGCTTGGTATTAATGGCATTCAATGTTAAAGGCCTACAAAGCCAGTGGCATGGTGGGATGGTGGAGAAATCTTGGGAGGAAGGGATGAAGTTGCTGGAGGGACGTGGTTGGCCTGTTCAAGACAAGGTAGAGTGGCTTTTCTTACAAACGTGTTGGAGCTTCATACCCTCCCAGAGGCAAAGAGCCGTGGGGACCTTCCTGTACTTTTCTTGGAGGTAATTAAGCAACTATGTTGTTCATCTAATCCACCTAACAACAATGGAGAAATTGAATTCATTGCAGCTTTTTAATTCTTCCTTCCTTTATCACTCTCTGCTCTTTTTTCTCCCCTTTATATAGCAACAAACAGAAAATGCTCCTTTTTCGTTTCATGGTCTTCCTCTCCTCTTATGGTTGCTATCATTTCAGAGCAAAAAGAGTCCAAGGGAATTTGCAGAGGAACTGATGACGGAGGCTCATCAGTACAATGGGTTCAACCTGATACTGGCCGACATCCGGTCCATGTCAATGGTTTATGTCTCCAACAGACCCAAAGGAGAACCCATTCTCATTCAAAAGGTTTCTCCAGGCATTCATGTACTTTCCAATGCAAAGCTTGACTCACCCTGGCACAAGGTAGACTGTCTTTTCTCAATAAGAAGAAAAACATGACAAAAAAAAAGAAAAAAAGAAAAAAACACAATATTGACAGCAATGCGCATGAAATTTCAAAGATGACTTTTTCCTTTTGCATTCTTGTATCACCAGAAAATTTATAATGGATAAAATTACTATTAAATATCAACCTTCTCAAACGCCAGTAAACTACTAAAATATATCTGAATATATATATATTTTTTTTTTGGCAGGCTCAACTTCTAAGACAAGATTTCAAAGAACTGCTAAATAAGTATGGAAAAGGTGAAATAGCTTTGAAGGAGATGGTTGAGAATGTAATGAAGAACACAACTAAAGCTGATGAAAGCAGGTTGCCTGGTATTTGTGCTCTCGATTGGGAATTCAGTCTTAGCTCCATATTCGTTGAAGTAGACACCCCACTGGTAAAAGTTCAAGCATAAGATAAGTTCACATAGTACTTCTTCTCTTTTATTTATCTACCTATTTTTTTGGTAACAGGGGCGTTATGGCACAAGGAGCACTGCAGCATTGACCATAAGAGCAAGTGGGAAAGTAAGTTTTTATGAGAAGTATCTTGAAAAGGATACATGGAAGGAGAAAACAGTGAACTTTAATATTTAGAAGTAGTTCGACACAACAAATTGCTGATGCCTAAAAATACTGATCATCATTAGCTTTATCTGTTTATTAATGATGATTCATGTATCAAATTAAAGCAGAAATGCACAGACCCGAGTTGTCACAGTAAAAATAAAACAAATGAATAAAATTGTATCTGATATAAGTTCCCCATTGTGAAATACATGGCCGATATATTCTCAGCCATAAAACATGTCTATAATTAGTCGGACTTTATGTTTTCATGCACTAGGAAGTGAGATAAGTTTATCTATTTCAACGAGACCAACTGACACCAAGAAAATCAGGGGGAAAATAGATTGTTACTGTGCTATTTTCCAAACCTTGCTAAAATAATGACATACAAGGCTCAAATTAAGGAAACTTGATGCATATTTAGTGTTAAGACTAAGAATAATCAAAAGCCTGACCTCATTTCTCTAAGTAGCATGACTATCAAATTTGAATCCAGCCATCTCTGCTTTAATCTTAGCAAAGTCTCCCAGAAACAAGTAAAATATCAATCATGTCCCCGAATAAGTCAAATGCTGGCTTAAATTCAAATCTTCTCTTTTGCCAAGATACCCAATAAGGCCACTAATTAAAAGCTGGTGCGTTATCTGGGTCTTTGCCAAGCTTTAATACTAAGTTTGCATTATTGCTTGGATCCGGGCATTCTTTTACAACGTGTGGCAACCAAGAGAATATTCCAGGCTAATTTCAGGTTTCCAGCTCCAATAAAACACCTTCACCATTGCCTCAATGACCTTCCTGCTTGGCTTCTGGTGAACTTCTTAAAGTCCAGTAGCACTTTTCAATTGATGGTGCCTTGCTAAGACCTCAACAGCTGAAGCCAAAATCCTATCATCTAGAAATAGTTGAGGCTGTTCCTGAGACCAGCAGAAAATATGCCCAACTCTCTCAGAACACCAATTCATGGATAGAGACCAGTCCGCTCTTTTCCTTGAAATTTTGAGGTTTTATGATGAACTTCTTGAAAAAGAGGCAATATTTCTTCAATCTCATCTGATTCCCAAACAATACCACCATCCTATTCTGCTACTTTCTTCTCCTCCGAATCATTGTTGTCACCTTAATAATAGAATCCATGAGACAAGTGTCAAGAGTCACTGCCAGGCTTCCTCAAGAACAAGTTAACACCGCAATCAGGAAGATGCTTAGTGCGCCAGGGATAGCAGAAATTACATCGAACAGTTGGTGTGGCACAATTGCTTCAGTTAGTGATGCGTACATGCAATTTATAAGACACTTCGGACATCTTTTTTAGTTGTCATTATATCATCCGATGGGGATACAATGCTTTGTATCTTGTTGCATGGTGCAAAGTGACGTGGCACAAAAATTGTCCTGATATTATATCCGGCCTTTTTAAATTTTGATCAGCAATTTATATGTTGAACTAAAAATTAACCTTCCTATATCTCTAATAATTTTTTTTAATTTTTAAAAAGAATACAACTTAGGAGTTCTTTAAAGAGGCCTTCCAAGTTTTCTTCTTATTGAGATTTGGGGTAAATAATAGGGGAGACAAATAAAACCGTCAACATCATGGACGACACAACGAAAAAAATAGTAGTTTTTGAGGACTTACTCAACCCAGACAAATCATGATGTTTTCTTCCAATTTTCCAAAACTCCGGAAAATTCACAAATAATAATGAAAGATAAACCGACGCTGCCGACAAAAATCAAATTTCAAAATATCTTATCCAGAAGACAATTTCATCCCAATAATGCTGTTGGCAGACAAAATATCAAAAGTCAACACACAACCCAAACCAAACACCAAAACCAAACTTCTTTTAATAACGATCAAGTTCCCAATGATTAGAACATGAGGGATCAAGTTACATTTATATACATCAAGGTAAAGGAAATAATTCTAGACTAGAAAACATGTCCAAAAAAGACAGTTATAAACGAAGCTCAAAATCACATAGGCTTATCAAACATCGGGGGAACCAGAAGCCAAGAAAACAGCAAAGGACGTTGAAACCTTGTCATACCTGCATTCACAATCTGCCCCATACTACTTTCACAGAACAAACAAGTAATAATAGCATACAGTTAGCCACACGGCAGGAGACATGTTTCATTCCAGATGCTAATAACTGCACCAAACTAAAGAAACAAAAGCAAAGAGAAAGAAGATTATACACTCTACTACGATCGAATTCTCAACTAAACCGTTAAACTTTCAAATTGAAGTGCATATAACAGCAAATCTTCAATCTACAGCTATTAATTTCTGATCGGAAAAAGGAAACAACCGGGTGCAGACGTACATTTCTTTTAGATGTGGCAAGCATCTAAAAGAATAGATAAAAATACCCAAACTTTAACATAGGAAGATTGAACATTGTCACAGCCTACATGATTATGCTATCCCCCCTGGACATCCCTTGCTAGTCCCTACTCGTCATCATCCTCCTGCAAAAGCAAATGCACTCTTAGATTCAACAAAGTAGATGAAATAACCAAGAAAACCAGAAGCACTAATAAGATTGCAACATCCACACACCTCTCCACTGCCATCTTCGTCGTCCTCATCATCATTCACCTCAGACACTGATTTCTCAGACTCCTCTTCTTCATCAGCCTTGGGACCCTCAGCCTGGGTTTTAATCAAGAAAATGTATATACATTGTTAACAACCGAACTCACATTTTCTGAACTCCGTAAAAAAAATAACAGAAATGTGACCGTCATTTCAACTAAAGAGTAGACCAAGCTACCTGTCTCTTATTATAGGCCTTCATGTTCTTCTCATACTCAACCTTTCGCTTCTCAGCCTTAGCCACGTATGGTCCTTTTTCCTAATAAATTCTCACAAATTATTCAGAAAACTGGCATTCACCTCCAGATTTAAAAAAGTTCTGAGCTAGCAAACCTAAAAATACTTACAGCTTCAGACATACTCTTCCACTTATCACCACCAGCTTTTCCAACCTAATTTTAACAAAGCTCAAGGGACAGAAATTAAAAAATACCCAGGTCTACAGATCTAGAATGAAAACATACAAAGAAAATGCCCCCAAAAAAACCCCAAAAGAAAAAAACGATCCCATCCTTAATACTTACAGCAGCAACTGATTTGTTCTTAGGATGCTCCTTCTTGTACTGCTCACGGAACTCCTCCCTTTAACCAGGAAACCAACATAAGCAATTGAAATTTACAGAGCAACAAATCAATAAAATCCTTCCTCCACACTGAATTTCCCTCGCATAGTAAATTTCAACGAAAAGAAATGTTATATTCACTTCTTAAACATGGTTAGATTTGAAAGTCAACGCCAACGATCTTTGACGTAAAGAAACATTTTCAACAGTAGCTAGATATAGAGGTCGTGATAATAGTAATTACATGAAAACGAAGAAGGCACTGGCTGGTCTCTTTGGTTTGTTTGGATCCTTGGCCGCCTTTCCCGATTTCTTAGGGGCCTTCGTGGTAGCGGCTCCTTTCTTATTCACAGAAAGCCTATAACAAAACGTAGAACCCACATCACGCAAACGACAAACCACAATCATATCCAGATCTGGGATCTGAGCAACCACGATCTAGAGGTTTCAGGGATCCAGAAGCAGCAGAAACGACGAATCCATGAAGAAAATCAAAAGTCAGAGGCGAGAAACTTACTTGGTGCTTTTGGTATCTGACTTCGATTTACCTCCTTTCATGTTGGATCCTGCAGTCAGAACACCAGATCAGCCAAAATAGCAGCAGAAATCATCACAAAAACGAATAAACCCGGCGAATCTCAAAGGAAATCGGTTCAAAATCAACAAAAATAAAAGTCAAAATTTAGCATAAATCAACCCAAAAACCCAAAAAAAAAAAAAAATCAACAAAGCATATCATTCAAAATCAAGCATAAATTGATACAGAAACGAGAAAATCAACGAAACATCCAAGCCAAAATCCCTACGGAAATCGTTTCGAAAACGAAAAAAATTGATGAAAATCGCCTCAAAACAGTGTAACGGAGGAAACGTACCTGATTTGTTAGCTAGGGTTAGGGTTAGGGAGAAGGTCTCAAGAGAGAGGAGAAAAGTGGAGGAGTATGTGTAGGATTGGAGGTGAGGGTGAAGACGCCGAAAGGCAGAGATATTAAGTTGGGGGAAATTGAAATTGAAATTCAATTGCTCACAAATGAAAGTAGGAGGGGTTTAGGCGGGATTTGGAAAATTCATGCCACGTCATCGATCCGTGTGCTTTTAGTGTATTGGCTGTGGCTAGTGGGAGTACAAAGCTTCGGATTTCAATCTCTGCTTTTGTGTTTTCTTTGTGCTTCCTTGCCCCTTATTTGTGTTTCGTTTGGTGATTGACTTCTCTGTAAATTAGTACAAGTAATTGATGGATTGGGCTCCATATGAATTACTGCTTTTGCTCCACATTTCGAGCCCAATTTTAAAATAGACTGTTTTTTCCAACTGCCTAAAAAAATTTTTAACCATTTAAAAAAAAAAAAGGATTTTTAATCTGATGCCTAAAATTATAATAAATATATATTTTTATCATAAATTTATATTAAAAAATAAAAATTAACTTTTAATTTATCACATA